TGAAGCTTGTAAAACTTCGATTTGTACAGCATCAGCCGTCATGCGTGAAGAAGTGAGCTTCGAGGTTGGAGTTCGGGGTTTTGGATACTGAACCGCAGCAGCCTAGACAAGTGTTGCGCGAAAGACATATACATTTAACCGGCACAGTGTACCTCGATACCACAACAGTAAACATGTTATTGTCGAGGCTTGTTCATTGAATGTTGTTCCAAGTTTAGTGGATGTATGCAGATGACTCCACCATAATCCATTGTTCAACCTTTTGCAACAGCCTAGCCAAATCTTCGTAGCTTCAGGGTTAAAACTGGCATGGGGGATCAGTGATGAATGATGGGTCAGTAAGACGAACGAATACCGTTGAAGCCTAATCCAAACTCCCGACGCCTGCACCATGCAACCCCAGTGTATACTTTCCCAAGCCCTGCCCTCAGCCCCTAACCCTAAACCCCGAAACGACCCATCTGCTCTTAAGGTTCCGTATGAACTCAGTCCTGAAACGGGTAATTCATGCAGTTCATCATCCAGCTTCGGGGTGCGGGTGCTTGGGTTGCAGGGCTTTTGGGCTTAGTGGTTATTAGGGCCTGTAAGGTTTTACATTAGGGCTTAGGCTTCGAGTTTTATAAGGCTTAAGTTAGACCTTCAGCGCTTAGGGTTTCGCTCCCAAAGTCACGAAGACGTTCGTAAGTGGGCCCTTTTGCACTTGTTAAATTTCCTTACAAAACTACCCATAGGCCCCATAGTAGTTCCTTTTTTGGGGGTTCATGTATAGAATCCTAGAAGGTAATCCCCAAAACGAACTATTATGGGGCCTATTGGTCTACAGCACCAAACCCTAACCCCCCGAAGGAGCCCTTTATATTCCTATGTTCCTGGGGATCTTGACGTACCTAACCTAAGTAGCCAAATTGGCGGTATGAAATCCGATTCCAACAGTAAGGTCCCCATGTTAGAGACAGCTTCCGGTGGAGCCTTAAAGGAACCCGTGAACTGATTATCAACCCACTTGTCTTAAGCTTTCACGATACATAAGCTTGGGCCTCAAGCATAGCTACTTGGAGGATCATGGGACTTAGTAAGTAAGGTTTTAAGTACCTTAATTGGGGTAAAAAGTAGTTGTAAGTATAGCTACCCTAATTATAACCCCAGTTACTAAGTCCCATGATCCTTTAAGTAGTTGGTTTGTCCGGATGCATGCATGCATGCACGTGAGCGTATGCGTGTATGTCATGCATGAATGCCCTTAAGGGACTCATCTTTGGATTCTAAAGGGATCTAGGAGAGTTTCGCTGTCGAAACTGTCAGCAAAAAGCCCCTGATAGTCCTGTGTATTTCTACAGCCCTTCATAGTTCTTGAGGCTCCTAAATTAGGTCCAGTCCCCACATGAGTAACGGATCAGAACGGATCGGAAGGACCAAAGTAGGGTGTGATACATCCGTCAAACGACGAATATGCCATGATGCGAGGGTTCAGCATTGCCGCAAAGAGCAGAGCGTTCGAAGTCGAAGTCCCGGAAACAAACCCCCAAAACCCCTACAGCCCTCAATCCAAGGACCCTTAACCGGTAAGATCTCGACCCCTCCGGCCCGAACATAGGGGCCTATAATCATTAGAATAGGGTTTTGGGGGTTTGTAGTACTATAATCACAATAAGGCACCCCACACAAGTCTTGGTAACTATTTGGGCCATTTGGGCCCCTATATTAGACCCCAAATATGATTAAGGCCCCTACATTATAGAACTCTATGATAGATCCCGTATAGAACCCTGTAAGAGGCCCCTTTACAGGAGCGCCATTCTCATAAGGCCCCTATACTATAGAGCCCTCTTATAGATCCCTTATAGACCCCGTTAAAGGAACCCTAAACCCTTTTCTAATTATCAAGGCCCCTATATTAGGGTAGAGCCCGCAAGACGCCAACATTTTAGAACTCTATGATAGATCTCTTATAGAACCCTTGATGGAACCCTTAAAGGAACCATTAAGGCACGTACATTAAAAACCAGAGTGCCTGCAACACGGAGTGCAGGCTGGTGTCGCCGGGTCCATGATCTCTGCTGAGAAGCTCCGAAGGAAGCTGCCTCATGGAAGGATGCAGGCTGCAGGGCAGTAAGGTATAGACATATTAATCAAGAAATACATGTCATGTATGTGTGTATGTATGTATGTATGTATGCATGTATATGTGTATGTATGTATGTATGTATGTATGTATGTATGTATGTATGTATGTATGTGTTTGTGTATGAAAAAGTAGATAGATACTGAAATGTTTGTATGTATACAAATATTCACAGACATTATATACATGCGTTTATGAATACATAGATACGAAGACAGAAGGGTAGAGGTAGGATCGTGTCTGGGGACTCGGCTGAGGGTATCGCCGGCTCGGGCCGTGAGGGTGTAAGCGGGGGTTCGTGCAGCAATCTCGAACCCTCAGTCGTCAAACCTAACTAATGTAGGAGCCTAGATAATTGCCAATAGTTTTTTTGGGGGGTCCTTATTATGGTTATAGTATAATATACCCCGAAGCCCTTTTCTGACACTGGTTATTAAGACCCCTATACTAGGAATGAGGGCTTCTCAATCAGACAGACAGGCTCATTCCGACTGCTACGGTGCCCCTCAACATCTGGAAGTGGCTCTCTGGCACTCTCACTCTCACTCTCACTCGCTCTCTCTCTCTCTCTCTCTCCGTCACTCTCTCTGTGCCTCTCCTCGCTCTCTGTTTCTCTCGCTCGCTCTCCCTCTCGTGGGCCTTCATCTGTGTCCGTTCGGAAACTCCCTTGTTGTTGGCAGCATTGTTCCGGCATTGAAACGTCAAGCACGGGATTGGTAGCCTGTGACGTGTAAGTCAAGTCTTCGAATCCAGTGGGGTCTGACACGCGGTGCTTCAGTCTATGTTTAATCCTATGCTATCAACCCTAAAACCGCAGATAATTGCCACATCTTAAAATCCACCTTGCTGCTGGCTCCGGCTCAGACGCGTGACAGCAGTTCCGCGTGCTGCGACTCTGCGACAGTAGGGGATTACCAAGCTCGGGTTTTCGGTTTGGGCCTTTGGGTGTAGGGCTTGTAAGGATAGAGAGTTTAGCCAGAAGCCCTGAAATCCCAAGCCCTAAACCTTAGTTTGGCCTCCTGAGCCCATACCTTCCTTCCCACCCCCACAGGCGCGAGCCAAGAGCGCATCCTTGAGCTGCAAGTTGATTGTAAATGTGTTCCCGTTTTCCTTCCGACCCATGGCAACCCAATCGTCAAGGAGGCTTAGCTAGCAACAAGATAACACCAAGTATCCTTAAACCCTGAACCCTAAACCCCACACCCATTTCCATGGGATAAGAACAGCAGCATCCTTCGTAGATCCGATAGGTAGGTTCGTGCCTCGCAATTTCCGTGCGCAGCGAAGCCGCAAGGCTCTTGCAGGTTCCTGGCAGACATTAGGGTTAAACGGTTAAGGGTTTAGGGAGTTCTAGACATCGATTTGAGATCATTCGAAATATCCCTTCTTGTTTTATATGGGTGGTTGTCAAAATTAGGGTCCCTTTTTGGGTACCCTAAATAATAGGTGCCGTATTATGATAGGGACCCAAAAAGGGACCCTAATCTTGATAACTACCCATATGGGGGCGATTGGAATCGACCCCTAGTTGCAGCTTTCAACTCCTTCTGCGGTTCGTGCACTTTAACCCTATGCCTGAAAGTGTTAAACCGCCATGCAAGCCCCCCTAAACCCTAAACCCTAAACCCAGCCAGAAGTCCTGAGCCCAAGGCCTTACCTTCCAAGCAAGCCCGAGGCTTTCAGCCCCCAAGCAATCGATTTCATGAGACCCACAGCTTTCTCTTACGTTTCCAAAGTGCCCGGTTACGACGGTCCATCGCGGTTGCTTTTGCGGGTTCCTTTGAGGATTCTCTCCTGTGTTAAAAATGTCTTTCTATGGTGTTTGATGTCCAAAGCCCCGCAATTGGGCTGAAGCTTCCCTCAATTTGATCCAAGGTCCGATGAGCAACACTACTGTGACAGGCCTGGATCAGAAGTCTTCAATCGGAGCCAAGGTTTGTCGTGTCATAGTTCAAGGCCCATCAGTTCCGTAAAGGACCCTGCAGAACCCCTACCTGGACCCTGAGGCACCTACCTTTTTAGGGTCCCCTAATATGGTTTCTTTCTACAAGTCCCCAAAAAGGTAGGTTATTTGGGGTTAAGGTAAGCCCTAAACCCTTAAATCCTAAACCCTCAGCCCTCAACTCTAGACCCAACCTTTGTGAGGGTTGGAAGATGTGATTTCACAGGTCAGGTGCGGACCAGGTGCTGGTTTTCGGAGTACCAGGTCTCCGAACATCCCAAATCTCGAAGAGGCTTTAGGGTGTATCGTGTTACGCTTTAGGGTTCAGGGTGTAGGGGCCAGGGTTTAGGATTTAAGGTTGAGGGTTCACCCTGAATCCTGTCACTTCAGCCCTAGATCTTGAACCTGAAGCATGGGGCGTGCGGTGGGGTTTGATCCAGCGCTGAGGCTAAAGCATATTCCTTTATTCAAAGTCGGGATCCTACTATAATTTAAGGAATATTCCGTAACCAAGGGATATTGGAGTCTCTGGGTACCTGGAGTTCGGGATAAACTGGTAGCAACATTGCCTCCTGATGAGTGCTGTAGATCTAGTCTACAAAGTGGAATCGTCTCCCCGTGTTCTAGTTCACGAAGTACCTGTAGTGCTTGGAATGTGCACCTTTTTCAGCAGAACTTGCATGTGCGGATTTTCATGTTGCCGGCAACCCTCAACAACAACTCACCCTGCACCCTAAGGGCACCCAAAGCAGTGGTTTTACACACGTGCGCTTCTCCATGCATCCGAATGCGGGCGTGGCTGTGCAGAGAGAACGAGAAGACTCTAAGACCTTGTAAAGGGTTTTCAAGATATTCATGTCTTCGCACGGTCTTCATACGAACCCTGGATCCCACACCTGGAGCACCTTGAAGCACATAAGGCGGTCACGAAGTCAGGTGCTCCCTGTACTGGTCCGGACTGCCCATCCCTGGCGGTGCTGACGGCAGCCTGGCTTGAGGTTGCGTGGCTTGCTGTGCCCTGGTTTTTCTTACATCGGTAGGAGTCCAAAGTCTTGAGCTATATGAAACCCCCTCTTTCACAGACAGAAAGCGTTGAGGTCGGAGCATGTAGGAGGCCACACCCTACGCCGGACCTTGGCCCTAACTCCAAGGGTCCAAGTACCCAATAATCATACGCTCTCCGACATGTTAACCTAACTCCTACCCCAAAACCCGAATATCTAATTATTGCATCCTTTGGACCCTTGGGGTAACTCCTCGGCCTCGGAAATACGCTTGGCCCTCAACTTAAAGGGTTTAAGGCTTTAGCGTGGCCCTCCACCCCAAATTAAACCCTGGCAGCCCTGGCTTGAGACCCTAAAGGCTACTTCCTAAAGGACATATTCAATGAAATCATAGCAAGTAGCCTTTAGTGATCAGGTGTTCGGGTTTCACCGAAATAATAGGGTTCATATAAGGAACCTTAAAGTTTTTCTAAGCAGGTTCCTACATTTTACCCCTTAAAGACCCCTTCAAAGGAACCCGAAAAAAAGGCCCCAAGGTTTCTACGTTACAAGAGCCCCAAACCCTTCCTAAGGAGTCTTGTAGACCAGAGACCTGGTCTTGGGTGCCGTTTAGGGTTTAGGGGTTAGGGTTTAGGGTCCAGCAGCGCTGTCGGGCTTGACTATTGTACTTGGAGGTGCATGGGTGGTTATAGCTAGGGTTATAAGTTATAAGTAGGGTAACTATGCTTGTAGCCCATATTAGGGGACTTACAAGCCTACTTATATAACTACCCCTGGAACTTCCAAGTAAGGGGTTTATAGGGTTTTCAGAGTTTAGGGGTTTAGGGGCTTTATCTAGGTGGCAATTTGGGAAGCTTTTTAATTTTCCTTATGGTTCCTATAGAGGTACCTATTCATGAATACTTTTCAGAGCCCCAAAACTACAACCCAGTTATGGTTGTGCATCAGGTTTCTGCCTGTTGCTTAGGTTGTAGGCGGTCTCAGAGGTCCCGAAGCGCAGGACCCCACGATGACGCAGGGGAAAAGGAGGGACCCTTAATGGGACCCCTACCCTATAATGGGCTATATAATGGGTATGTAATAGCTATGTTAAGGGTATATACCTAAAGTTCCTTATTAAAGGTTTATAATGGGTATATAATAGTTGCAAAACCCAGATGATCTGATCGGCAGCTTGGCCACTACCATGCCTCGTAGGATGTTGCTTGCCAGATGACGGCGCTAATTAGCCCTTAACCCCTAAACCTTAATCAAACCCTAAACCCCTAAACCTTACACGGCACAGCCAAGGCCAATTTGGACACAGCTGGTGGGCTAGAGACATCATGGTTTCGCGGCTGCACGGTTCCAGCCGTTTCTGAAAGAATTTCGGGGCTGGGGGTTCTGGCGAGGCCCGCCTAAAATACCTGTTCTTAACCTTCTTCAGCCTTTTTGCAGTCTCCCCAAACGGTTACCCCAATTGCTCATGTTGCAATTTTGGAGTTACGGCGAAGAAGTCGAGCGAACAAGAGCCTGAGAGGCGATTTCCGAAGGTGACTGATTGCATTAGTGCTAGTTTCTAGAAGCCTGACATATACTATTTGGCTGTAAACTCAACTTTTTCAGCTTTCGGGGTTCTTATAAGGTAGTCGATCTGAAAGTTTCAACTTCTATTCCCTTGGGTTATGGGCCAGTGAGTATACGTCTTCAGAGAAGGTTCCTTCAACAGCTTCCCTGAAGAGTCAAGGGTTCTATACAGCCACTTCAGGGCCAGCGTACATACTGCGCGGGCACATGGAGCCTCAGGGCCAAACAGCTTCAAGACGTTGGGTTCATGGGTAGTTATAAGTATAAGGTTATAAGGAGGGTAGCTATGTTACTTGTCACCCATATTCGAGGTTTATTAACCCCACTTATAGCTACCCCCGAACCTCCAAGTATGTTAGCTGGGAAGATCTATTCTGCCATCGTGGCAGTCCCGAATGCTCGGTAGCTCCAGCTCGTAAACCCTTACCTTCGCTATGGTCCTTCTGTTAGCTTCTGATGTGTTATACTTGGAGGTTCATGTGTAGTTATAGCTAGGGTTTAGAAGTAGGGTAAGTATACTTATAACCCATACTAGGGGGACTCATAGCTTATAACCCCACTTATAACTACCCAAGAACCTGCCAGTAGGTCCCCTCGGCGGCATGTTGATCTGTCAATCGGCAGAGAGGGGTCCAGGTATCCATACCGTATACTCAGGGCCCGTGGCCTTGCCCCGTACAGAGACCTTTTAGGGTTCGTTAAAGGTGTTTCTGTATTTTCCATAGGATTTCTAAAAGGGTTCTCTAGGATTTGAGGTTCAATTTCTTCAAGCTATTGCCCAGGAATAGCATATGGATCCTTGTGGCATATAATGGCACCCCTTTGAGGCTCAAGTTGTGTAACCTACTACATAGGCCTATAATCCCAAAACCCTAAACCGCCCTGTCCTCTGGACCTTTTTCGCAATGGACGTCGTGCTCCGAGGCTGTCGACTCTCTTTCTGGGTTCAAGAAAGACCTCTCAACAATCCATCCAGTAACTGGGTTTAGGGTCTAGGCCTTGCGGATTGTATTCGGCTTTCGAACTTGGCCTTCTCTTCTCTGTGTGTGTGTGTTGTGTCTCTCAGTCTGCTCAGCCTTGACGCCCCGCCAGACCTCTGTAAACGTATTCTCCTGATCACAGATCCTAAAAAACCTTAAATCCGGCTGTTGCACGAAGGAAGCGGGCGACTTAGGGTATTTAGGGTTTAGGGTTTCGAAGCCTTAAAACCTAAGCCGAGAAGAACCTACACTTTTAGGGTTCCTTCTTATGTTTCCTTATATAAGTCCTCCTAAACCGAATGTCGAGGCTCCTTCTTTGCACCTTCCTGGTGATTTCGATGCAGCTGGGCTTTGCCATGCTAGAGGCCGCGTCTAAACAGAGTTGAATGGCGGGGTTCCGACTAAGGCAGGGAGGTTTAGGGTTTAGGTTTTAGGGTTTAGGGTTAGGGGCCTTAGTAATTAGAATAGGGTTTGGGGGTGTATTATGAAGGAACCCCCCCAAACCCTATTCTATTTTTTACGGCCCTTACATTATCCCGTGAGGAGCACCTGGGAGTTTGGGGGCTCAGCGTTTAAAGCTTCGGGTTCGGGAGTCTAGGGCCTTTCTGGGGGGCTCAGGGATTCAAGTTTGATACTTCGGGTTCAGGATTCTAGGGTTTTTTGGGATTCGGGCGTGGGATACGTATGACTGAAGGGAGTGTTTGGGGCTACAGAACGATCTTAACAAGGGTCTCTGCCACTGCTTTAGATAATATGGTTGCCTTAACAACCATTAGAATGGGGTTTTTGGGCCCGTGATGATTCTGTAATCATAATAAGGAACCCCCCCCAAAAAATAGTACAGGTAATAATTGAGGCTCCTAGAAAAATGCAGTTTCAGAATCCGGCTGAAGTTTGGAGGTTCAGGGTTGCAGATACCCGTAGGTTCCACTGTAGTTGCTGTTTGGGATCATCTTATAGGATCCTAAATATAAGCGGCAACACGGAGCTACAAGGGTGTAGGTTTTCAGCGCGGCTCCTCTGCATTCCCAGCCCGACACTTCCGGATCGTTTCTCGCAGGTGCTCGATTTCGCTTTCACGGCCAAGGAACAGCCCTAACCCCTAAGCCCTAAACCCTGAAACCATCTTCGGCCTCAGTGCTAGGCCGTGAAACCACAAGCTCTACATGCTGTTCCCCCTAGACGAAGTCACAAGACCCTTGGAAGCCAGAAGCAGCAGCTTATCGACCGTAGTCTCCGAGCAAAAAGTATGGGTGCTTGTAGGCCATATCATAAGCTGTTTTTCCCCCTGTGTTCTGAGATGCCCACTCACCAAAGCCTCAAGCCCAACGGCATGTTTCCAAAGCATCGGAGAAGGTCGGCTCTGTTCGTGAAGCACATCGCATGACGGCACCTCTGGTGAAGACCCGGTTTAATGGAGGAACCTGAATAAGAAACCCTGGCCCTATAACCCCCAGTATGCTAGGATTCACATAAGGAAACCCTAAGGCCCTAATAAAGGCCCAAGATTTCTTAATCAGGTTCCTACATTACTATAGTACCCTTACAGATCCCTTACAATAACCCTTATGGACCCCTGTAAAGGAACCCTAATAAAGGCCTCGGGGTTTAGGGTCCCTAAGCCCTTAAACCGTTGGCCTGCTGTGAAACAAGGGCTTTAGAACCGGGGCTCGGGGCCTACCTGGCTTCCTTCTCTGGTGTTCCTTTAAAGGGTTACTATGAGGGTACTATAGGGATTCTTTTAAAGGGCTCTCCTACCAGAACCCCCCAGAAGGGCCATTTAATGGATCTCTGATGGTCCTTACTTAGTGGATATTTCAGGTATATTAGAGGATAGTTGGGGGATCTAGGAAAGCCTTTACCCGTTAACCCTGCAAACCCGAAACCCCCTAAATGCTTGAACCCTTAACCCCCAAAGCTTTAAATCCCTAAGCCCCCAAAACCCCCAATCTCTAAGTCAATGAATCCCTAAACCCCGAAGCCCTAAACCCTAGATCCCCAAAAGTCCGAACTCTAAACCCTAACCCCTACCGTACAGTTCAGGGTTTACCTTCTTAAGGATTAAACGCTCTGGGTGGCTTTCGATGGGCCTGCATGATTGCATTGCTGTACATGCCCCTTCGTCGGATTCTATCGGGTTTAGGGTGCAACGTCGGAACCGGATGGTCTTTATTAGGGCTCTTTATCTGGATACTAATATGTTGGTCTTATAGGACGAGGGTGTCTTAATCAGGTTCCTACATTAGGCCTTCGAGTTTAGGAAGATCTGTGATTCCCTTCTTGGTCGGGTGGGGATTCTGTACTACATGGACCCCAAGAAACCTTCCTTGTTAGGATTTCTTTCTTTGCGTCCTGAAAAAGGTATATAGGGTAGCTAGGGTTAAGGTAAAGCTAGAGCAAGGAACCTTGAGGAGCAGTTTGTACTAAGGGTGACTTTGTACTATACTTAGAATAAGGAACCCTACGGAAGAGGGTTTGTAGTTCGTGTTGTATTTCAGTTGTTGGCAACATCAAGAACGAGAATCTTTGGCACCTGTGTGATCCGGCTGTGCCCGCAATATATAGTGTATCCTGTCACCTCGCTTGTTTTGACCCATGCGCTTACATAGCACAGCACAGTCAGAGTGCGTAATTCGACGGACCCCACCTTCTTGTCACTGCTTGCGTTTAGGGCTTGGGGGTTAATGTATAAGCCCGACATAGAAACAGGAAACACCAACGCATTCTAAACCCCAAACCGTACATAAACTTGCTGTGCAAGCCTTTTCCCTCTGCGCTTTGCAAGTAGCTGGACAGCATGAGCTCCTCGTGGAGGGAATTGGAGTAGGGCTGCGATGCCGCACCGGTAAGCGGGTTCCGGGCTCACCATCTCTGCGACCCGTGGGGTCAGCAAGCACGTTGAGGACAACCTGCTCCGCTGTCCCATGTGCATGCTCAAGAAGATTGTGGCCAGACGCAGGTTTTCGTGATCTCAGCTGCGAAAATCAGCTGCTTGCCATAACGGGCCGGATCAATCTTGCCGACTTCGGCTTGGAGAAAATGCGATGGCAATCGACGGTGATCGCGTGATGGAGTTCGAGCCCAACATGCTAGAGAACTCGCGGTGCGAAAGTGTCAGCGGTGACCTTCACTTGGCCAGCCCGATGATTACAGAACCCTCTTAAAGATCCCTTGTAGACCCCTTTCAAAGGAACCCCTTTCTAAGGCACCCCAAAATTTCTTTAAGGTCTTGGCCAAGAACGTCCTGGACTCCGCTGTATCCTGCCTGGTCTTCGCCGTAGCCTCGGGGCGGGGTCGCTCGCCTGCCAGGGGCTGCTGCAAAGTACTAGGTTGCGGGTTAAGCAGGGTTGATAGCTTTAGTATAGGGTTTGTAGGGTTTATATATAGGGTTTATATAGGGTTTATATAGGCTTTCTAGGGTTTTTAGGCAGGGGCTGCCACAAAGAGAGGTCAGGGTAACAGTTTTCGGAAAGGGGGTCATAGGATTTCTTCAAGGGCTCTATAGGGCTCTATAGGGTTTGTATAGGGTCTTATAGTAGTTATACGTGGGCCCCTGAGTGGGTTTTACTGTCTGGTTTTTAGTTGGGAATGGGGGAATGGGCTATTGGGACTACTATACCTCAAGGGACTATGATAGGGATCCATTCCCCCATTTCCTGCTAAGCACCAGAGAGAAGAGAGGACAGGGGAACAGTTTTCGGGTTAATCAGGGTTGATTAATATGGGGACCTTAGTAATTACCTTTACGATTTGGGAGGGTTCCTTATTGTGACAAAGTAACAGGTTTCAGGTTAAGTAGGGTTGATAGGTTTGGGGTTTGCAGGGTTTATATCGGGTTGTTAGGGCTTGTAGTGTTTTTTGGCAGGACTGCCGCAAACAGAGGTCAGGGTAATAGGTTTCGGGTTAGCTAGTGTTGATAATAGGCTTAACGCCTTAGGGTTTTCAGGGTTTCCAAGCCCTAAACCCTAAACCCTGAACGCTAATTAGCTGGTAGGGTTTAGGTGGCTTCGAGTTGGGTGGTTCTGAGGTTGAAGTTTTCGGCTGGAATCTGATCAGGGATGAGGGTCTAGCGGGGGGAGTCATGCCCCGTGTTTTGCGCTGTTGTGACGGTTTATGGCTTAGGGTTTGCGAAATGTGAGCTTAGTCTCTTGGTGTGAGGGGTTCTGCCTGTGCTGGGAACGGTCTTCAAGGCAAACTTTTTGGCACGAGCAAAAGGAACCAGGTGAAACTCAACCGACCTGCCCAAAGCAACTGCATAGTAGACTGTAGGGTTTCTATGTTAGGATACTCAACTATAGCTTGGGAAAGTATCCCGCATAGGAGTACCTAGGACTCCTTGGGTTTAACATAGAAGATAGCCGCCAATCGCAGAAACTTACGAAGGCGTGCCGAGCCTCTTAGTGACGCACAATTCCTGAAGCCGTCCTCGTCAAGCCAGTGAGTCCCGTCTGGGTGGTGGAGAACATAGCATAGGGGCCGTAATACTTGGAATAAGGTTTTGGGGCCCATTAGACTATAAACAGAGTAAAGAGGAAAACACAGGGAGAAACTCCTTTCCGAAAATAGGGGAGCCCAAATATAGTACCCTAAATCGTGGGATCCTTGTTATACGGACCCCGAAATAAGGTGATTATGCCCAATTTTCGGAAACTCCCGCATGCTAGTCCATGCAGCTGGAGAAGGACTGCCCAAGGCCTGAGCCAACCTGATAAGCCGAACCTTTGCAGGACCCCATGCTAAGCCCTGCTGGACCCTAAACTTCCTAAAGCCTCAACCCCAAAACCCTAAACCCTGTGCTAAGCCCTGCTGGACCCTAAACCCTACACCCCAAAACCCAAAACCCTATGCTAAGCCCTGCTGGACCCTAAACCCTCAACCCCCAAACCCTATAAACCCTATGCTAAGCCCTGCTGGACCCTAAACCCTACACCCCAAAACCCTATAAACCCTATGCTAAGCCCTGCTGGACCCTTCCCTCAACCCCAAAACCCTATAAACCCTATGCTAAGCCTTGATGGAGCCTGCCGGCCCCATGTCACAAAACGCTTGATGGTATAAATCCTGCATGACCTTAAGGACCCTCAACTATGGGAATTATGGCATATTCCTTATCAACCGAAGGACTGTGGGAATCCTCCCTAGTTCTGGATGCCGATGGCTTCAAGATGCATCTGGGCCTTACAAAGCTCCAGGGGTTCAGGGTATAGGTTTGAGGGCTTAGGGTTTAGGGGGTTAGGGTTTAGGTTTTAGGGTTTAGGGGTTAGGGTTTAGAGTTTAGGGTTTAGGTTTTAGGGTTCATGGTTTAGGTTTTAGAGCTTAGGGTTTAGGGGTTAGGGGTTAGGGTTTAGGGTTCATGGTTTAGGTTTTAGGGTTTAGGGTTTAGGACTTTTAAAGGGTACTGTAAAGGATTGCTTTGAGGGGTTCCTTTAGGGGTTCCTGTAAAGGTACCTTGTAGTGTTCCTTTAAAAGCCCTTCAAAGGTTCAAGGGTTCAGGGCTCAGGGTTTTTGGCAATCAGGGTATCATAGGTTCGGGGGTCTCTGTTATAGGTCTTCTAGGGTCATGATTGCGGCACTTTGTATGCTTTCAGAGCTCAGGGTTTAGGGCCCATAGGCTCGAATTGGAGATCTACATCAGGATCATGGGTAGTGCTCGTCTACGTCCATCTGAGAGGAGCTGCAGTTGCAGTGTCTTTTCGGGCTCTGTTTCAGAGAGTTGCCTGTAGATAGTTGCTATCCCCATCTTGGTGTATGGTATATGTACTATGCACTACTACAATACGCTGCTGCTTATATAGAGCAGCTGGGCCAAAAGGACGTTGCATGGTCTTCGGTATTTTATTTGTGGGCCTTGCGGGTGTCAACCTGGGATGGAAGTTGTTTCAATTTCTTTAGGATCATGGGACTTAGTAAGTAAGGTTAAGGTACTTACTTGGGGTTATAAGTAGTTATAAGTATAGCTACCCTAATTATAACCTCAGCTCCTAAGCCCCATGATCCTTTAAGCAGGTCTGTGAGAGGCACTTGTGTAGTGCCCTGGCTCCTACCGACCGATCATGAAATGAGAAGGCTTGTGTGGCGCGGGCCCATGCATTGATCATGGCCGTACTGAGCATGCTGCATTCATTGAGGAGTGTGGCTTTGCTCCGACAGGGTTCGTCCTCCACTCGACCCCACCCCGAAGCACGGACCTGCAGACCTTAAACCCCGAAGCCCTAGGCCCTAAGCCCTACGGGCCTGTCAAGTTCCAAGGTACGACATGCAGCTCTATCATTGGGCCTTCTGCGCGACCTGCTTTTTGGCAAGCATTTGCATGTTTATGTCTTTTTCTCTGCTGTTTCTTGGCTGGGGTTTGAATTTGGGTGTGGACATGGGTCCACGCTTAATTAAGTGTTCTGCAAACGCCCCGACGAGAGCCGCAATAAGGCTTACTCGGCTTCAGCTAACAGGGCAAGCACAGAGCCCTCGGTGACTAGAATGGAGTCTGGAGGACAGTAAGAAGAATGATAGGGTCCGGGGCTTCCACACGGAAGAGCACGAATCGTGCTTTTCTACTCGTGAGGAGTTGCAAGCGAGGTGCTTCTCTAACTTGCAGGGGATTGCCTTGAGGCATTCCCAAAACAGGCATTTCCCGAATCGTAGCAGCTTGGAAAACCTTCACTCTTTTCGTGTGCAGTGTGCTCAGCCAAACTACGGAAATCTCAAGTGCAAGGCCCAACGGCCCGGTAAGACCCTAGATGATGCGAGGTCGGCTTACACTGGTTTGATGATCGTGAGCCGCAGAAAGTTGGAACATGGATTAAAGTTAAAGATGAGCAGCACATGAGGCTAATCATGTTTCAACTTTCCGGCTCCTCAGTGGGTTGCAAAAAACATTGCATGTTTCAATCAACTGAATTGGGTTTCGGCTTTGGGGGATCAGCGCCACCCAGCGGTTATATTGTCTACAACGGCTGACTTAACAACATGATCTTTATTCCGTGGTGGATGAGGGAACACTGGTGGATCCTTCTACGGATTTCTTGGTAGTAGTCCGGATCACCCGTGCAGTCAGTTCTGTTTAGGTCGGGCTGCAGGATTTCAAGATTCAGGGTTTAGTAAGGTTCCTGTCGTTTTCAATGTTGACTTGTTGAGTCACCATCTACTTTTATAGCGGTAGGCTTTGCATATTTCGATGGGTGTTCCAAGTGTTTAGTGCTAAGACCTGTCGCTCGCCCTGTGTATGCTGAAGCCCATCTACTTAAACGACCCCAATTCCCACACCCTCTAGACTCTAGCTACAACCCCACCGCCAACAACACTGCACGCCCCAAGCATCCCCAAACCCTAAATCAATCCCAATTCAATACCCCTGTAGCCCATAAACCCCGAACCCTAGCCGCCCCTTGCCCCGTGCCGATCACCCCAGGCGTCACCATCTGCAGCGGCTCCATGGCGGAGCGAACTCACATCATAGGCCTGGTGCTCCTTGAAATAATGTACTATAATAAGGCTATGATAAGCTATAATGTACTATAACGATGCTACTAAAATGTTGGGAATGTACTGTGATAGTCTGTGATAGTGCTGTAATGTACTATAATGATACTATAGTGATACTAGAATGATACTATCATGCTTGGAGTCAGTAGGGCTTTGTTTCTGTTTCCCCTGAAACCATAGCAAGAAGTCGTGTTGAGTTGAATACTTCCTCCTTAACAGGTCATAACTTGAAAGCCCTATACAGTTTTAAGCCGTCTTGTATAATTACGAGATACTCAATGGATTTAGGAGTCTCTGAGTTTTGTTGAGGGGGTTCCAGACGCAAGTGCTAGGACAGGGCAGGGCTTCAGGTCCATAGACAGCGAGGGATCTAAGTAATTACCACCACTTCGCGACTACTCCTCGGGTCATAAGCATAATGGTGGATTTATAGTTTGGATATACCCGCAAACCTTATTCTAACTAGTAAATTCCTTAGATATCCTACGTACAGTTTGTGCCGGGTTTAAGGGCATCGGATTTCAATGACATCGAAGGCTTGCTCCTTTGGTGGAGGGTCATGGGCCCATTCCCAGTCATGTGCCGCGTTTCAGGATTAGGAGATCCGTGGTAATTTTAGACACATAGTGAGTATATACCTTCATTAAGGATCATGCTCTGGCAATCCCCCACTTCCCCCCCGTGTTTTGCAGCTTATTTCAAGGCCAAATACCGGGGAGCAAACTCCCCAAACCCTGGGCGCGAAAGCCATAATTCGATGCCCGACAGCCCGGAAGCCCTCAAGCCCGCATAAAGCCTGAGGCGGTGACTGCATTCAGTGACGTTCTTGGGTCCTGGTTTCTTATAGCACTGCGTTGCAGAAGGTAGCCTCAGATTCTACTACGACGCTTCAGAGCCCAGTCAAAAGTTGATTGTTCTACCTCGACTGCTGACCTTTCTGTGATGTTTCATATGCTCAACGTAATAAGGGCTTGGGGGCATCTTTTTCTGTTGCTACTATGAAGAGCCCACAATAGTACTGGTAACTGTTTTGGCTCCTATGCTACGTAAGGTTTAACCTGCTGGACGTATGTAATCCAGTGCTTCCCTGCAAGCCAAGCCAGGACATCCCACACACCCCATAGTGAAAGATCATTCCCCGAGGCAGGTGTGGTTTTTGGTATGTTCTAAGGAATCTAAGGAATATTCTTCTAATCCATCATCAGAGGTATAGGGTTCCTTACTTCCTATATCACGCACGGTTCGTAGCTTGGGACAAGGAGTATCTTCCTTAAAAAGGGGTCCTGGGGCTGGGGTGTCTAGGAGGTTTTCAGGCCCAACGCCCCTGAAGGCTACCTCACGCATGCCTCGCTGATGGCGGGTCTCATCTTCCCCCCGATCGCCGAAGCAGCATCTCGCCATCAGTGCTTTCTAAGACGAATACTTGTAGGAACTGAGGTTTCTGGCCAACAATACAAATTTCACAGCGCGCCAGTCATTGGGGGAGTACTGTGGCAGCAGAAATGCTTGGCGGCGCCGTCGTAGTTGCTGTAAGACGCGGCAGTAGGTAATGAAGGCCATCTTAGGCCTTCACGCAGACCTAAACCCGAATGCCCGCTGCCCTGCTAACCTGAACTCTGCATCTTCAAACCTTCCTTATGAGGAAGTACATGTTGAGTATATTGACATCAATATATATATATATATATATGGGTGGTTGTCAAAATTATGGTCCCTGTTTGGGTCCCTTTTATAAAAACGCACCTAATATTTAGGGTGCCGAAAAAGGGGCCATAATTTTGAGAATTACCCATAGGGTGCTTAAGGTTCAACCGGGTTCAGCTATGAAATTCTGCTTGCGCCTCTGAGGTCTGGGGGCGTGACACAGGCTCCTCGCGGGATGTCTGAGGGATGTGGAGATTGTTGTTGTGATGCTGCCGCAGGTTGCGAGTTGCACATCTGAGGCTGGTTGAACAGATGAACATTGGGGAGTCAGTAGACAAAAATGTTATTTAGCTGAAGTGCTTTGATTTGGATCCTAAGGAGGAATCTTCCTAAAACCCTAAACTCCTAAACCCCAAATAACTGGACCCTATAAGCCCTAAACCCCCAATCCCTGCACCCCAAGTCTTGAGATCCTCGTAAAGACCGCTCTCAGGCCTTGCCTTAAGGCCGCAAAAAGCGCTGCCTCAAGCAAGGGGCTTGCCTTGTAAGCAATACCGCAAGTGCGGTATGATTAGACGATATGATACAGCCATAGTGTATAGTCACCTGACTTTTGGCTACTCGCCAAGTCCCCAGAGCCCTTTCTGTTCCACTCTGAACCCCTGGACAAACCCTGCACTTCCTTGTAAAAACCTCCTAATGCTAGAAGACTACGTACTCATTCCCCTGATCCTTTAAGTAACATCTTGCTGGCCTCAACCCATAACACAGGCTTCATGAGGAAGGTCATGATGGACATCATGCAGAAGGACAGCGGGGAAGCCTCGGAACGACGTTTACCACCGTTATAGGCACCCCTGTAGTAACTGTTACAGTACTGCTGAATCACCCTCATAGTACCTCTATCGGATGGCAAGTTTATGCGCTTTGGCGTTTCAAGAAGCCTCTATGGGTGATGCATTTGTTTGTTTTTCGTGTAATGATAGGGCAAATGCTAAACGGTGTTTTCGATTGAAGGTGTTAGGGTCCAAATCTTGCTTGAAATGGCTCAGCAACAGGACTACTACTACCACGACTGCGCTGGAAGCGGTGTCGTTCATTTGGTAGGCCTGATGACAAGACTTGACTCTGGAGACTTACTTGGAGGTTCATGGGTAGTTATAAGTAGGGTTACAAGGGGTGTAGGGTTCCTTTAAGGGTTCTTTAGGGTGTAGGGTTCATGGATAGTTAGATGTAGGGTGATAAGTAGGTAACTATACTTATAACCCATACTCGGGGACTTATAACCCCACTTGTAACTACCCCTGAACCTCCAAATGGTGACAAGACTTGACTCGGGAGACTTATGCACGCACAAAACCCCAGCGCCCTAAAGCCCTGCCCGGAGGGTCATACTCTACCCCTTCTTCAGGGTACCTAAGTTTCTAGAAAGTCTTGCTAAGCATAAGACTAGGTACCCTAAAAAAGGGGGTAGGGCATGATGCTTTGTAGGGGCATCATAAACCTGTTCCCAAATCTCCGGAAGACCTCATAGCAATCTCCTGGGCTCTGGGAGGCTTCGGGTTACCCCAAGATCTGTTCAGGACTTGTGTCACTACCTTAGTCTTACAAGACGTTTGTTTCTCATATACTGTAGTCCCGCTCGACTTTTGGGTGGGCGGTTTAGGCTTCAGGATTTAGGGGTTTGGGTTTTGGGCTTAGAGTTTAGGAGTAGTTTCTGGTGTGTTGGGTTCAAGACTTGCATGTTCCGCCGGTTGAAAGGACGGCTGAGTCAAGCTTACAACTCCCTTGTAGCCTGGCGAACATGGTGTATATCATAGCCCCCATACCTCCTTAATTATGATGGCTCCTACACAATCGCAACGAGACCGAACGCTACGCAGTCCGATGTTGGACCCCAATCTCGGTTTTGCACAGGAACAGCAAGTTTAATATTTTCGTACAGATCCTGTATAAAGGGTTGTTACGATTGAAGACTGTTTGTGCTTTCGGTCTTTTGATGCCAGCACCGCAGTGGGCGCTTCCGAATCGTAAGCTCCCAAAGCTGAAGGACCAATCTTTTATTACCCCACGTGCCAGGTTGACTGCTCTTTATCCCAAATACTCTGAACCAAAACTTTTCTCCGCACCAATAAAAGGCGTCGTGGGGGTTCCATAGTATAGTGGGCCCCAAAACCCTATTCAGAGTGTTACGGCCCCTACATTGAACCCTAAACCCTAAACCGCTGTAGCCCCTAAACCTTAAACTCCTAAGCTAAGCCTGGATCCCACCCCCCTTTCCACAAAAAGAAAACGCAGGTGGCACGGCGGCTCTAGCTGGGAATCTCCTCCTGGGCCGACGAATCATGCGCTCAGACGAGCAGCTCGGGCTATGGGGTTCTCGGTTCGGTAAGGGTTCGAAGGGGGCTTTGAGCGGGTTTCAAAGGGTTTATGGGAGGGTTCTAGGAGGGTTGGACAAGGGGTTCTGGGAGGGTTCTAGAAAATTCGATGCCAAGGCGGTTTAAGACATACAGTACTATTCCTGTAGGTTCCTTTGTATATTTGGTATATTTAAACAAGTGCAATACACACCGAAACCTCACGCTACTAGTTTTTAAGGCTTAGGATATGAAGGTCCCAGCCTTGGAGTTTGCTTACGGCTTGAAGTTTCAAACTGCCGATGCCCTACCAAAACCCGGAAATAGCCCTTCAATGGAGCCCTCACGGTCCTGAATCATGGGTATTTGGGGCATATTTGAGGGTACTTGGGGGGGTCTAGGTAGAACTCATAGGCTTGTTTCCGAGTTGTGACGCGCATTGTTTGTGTTTTCTGGTGCCTGCAACGTGTTTGTTGTTTTCTGCTTCGGGTTTACCTAGAGGCTGCATAGTAGTTCCTTTTTGTGGCTCTGATCCTAAAAGGCAGTCCCAAGAAGGAACCACTATGGAGCCTACGGGTAGGGAGGGAGTTGATCGACATCGTTACTCAGGCCCACTAAGGCAGGATTCCCATTACAGGCCTCTGGCCTGAAGCTCTAAACCCCTGAAGGCCCGAAGTCCCAGATCCAAAGCCCTGAAACCCCGAGGAAGACAGGAAGACACCCAGGATCCAAAACCCAAAAGTCCTAAAGCCAAGAGGGCATCAGAAACCTAGTGGCCGTCCGACAAACACACACACACACACACACACACACATCATTTCACAGACGAAGCCCAGAGACTCTGACTTGCAAGGGCAGAGCATGGGGAGTTGCTAGAGCAGCTCGCCTCCGAGAATAAGCTGAAGGACGGCTCTTCTCGCGTGTCAGGGTTGCAGGGCCTAGGCTGTAGGGGTTTGAATAGTTCCGGCTTGAGGGCAGTTGGTTCAGGGCTTTTGGGGATGCAGGATACTGGAACTAAGGCTGGGAGTTCAGGGGTTTCCGGTGCAGGGATGTAGGCTTCGCGGTTTTGCCTTGAGAGCTCGTCTTCCTACACGCTCATGTAACTGCGCACCCTCAAAGACACTTAAATCATGTAGAGGAGAGTAAAGCCTGAACCCAAACCCGCAAACCCTAAACTGCTTTGAAGCACCTAAATTCGTAAACAAGCTCGAACCGAAGCCCAAAACCCAGCCCTCACAGAGACCGAGACCCCTCACATCTCCAACAGAGCCATCACTGCCAACTCCAGACCCTGAACGCCCTAAACCCTAAACCCTCCCTAAACCCTAAACCCTAAACCTTCCCTAAGCTACGGCTCAAGGCGTTGTGGATCAAGGAGCCTCTCGAGCTGTATGGTTCTTCGTGGACGCGCTGGGCCTCGCCTTCCACGTGGGTGTCCCTTGGGTGTTTGTCTTCATCTTGCACGACTCGATTCGCCGCGCCCACTTCCTGCTCCCTTGGGCGTTCCTGTTCATTGGGAACTACACGATTCTGCTTGAGCTGACCTTCTCTGGTGAGCCGTCCAAAGGAAGTTAAGGGGTTCAACTGGCTCCTTCCCTTTCGACTCCATGGAAAACAAGGACCACAGCCCGACAGAGATTGCTGATGATGAGGACCTCGACCTTGTTTCTGTCAAAGACGAGGAGGTTGGGGAATCAGATCGCGATGTGCCGGGGGCAACCGGGGAGGAACTTGTCAATACTTCTGCTGCAGCTGTACCTGTTCCTGGGGCGCCTTCTATGACAACGGCTATGTCAGTTGACTCTACTGGGGGAAGTCCTAGTCGAGGCAAACGAGCGAGGGAGCCCACTGCTGCAGTCCGTGTTGGTAGTGGTTCCGGGCGTGAGCGGCCACTTCGGAACACACCGAAGGGAAGGGCCTTTTCTCCTGGCACTGATCAACCTGTCACCTCCCGAGAGTTTCGCGAGCTCCTGAACCAGCACCTTCATGCAATCACTCGTTCATGGCAAGAGATGGATCAGAGAGTCGGCGCTGTCGAAGAAAGGGTCGATGCTGGCAAACAAGGGGTGGCCGTTCTGAACTCGCGAGTCACACAAGTTGAAAGAAAGGAAGCTGATCTTGAAGTCAAAGTCACCGAGCTTGCTAAGACCGTTGCCACTCTGCAGACCGGGGGCGACAAGACACCCAAACCGAAGCCTGCTGGTCCGCCGTGGGGAGAAGGTAGTCTTGATCCCTGGGCGAACTTTAGGCCACGAACTGGTCCGGCTGCTTCTGGCTCTGCAGATGGTCCTCCCCGGGGTGATTGGGGTGATCCCTCTGGGACGGGACGTGATGAACTCTCTGATGATGACAAGAAGACCCTTATCATTGGAGGGTGGCTGCCAGACAGCCGTCGCCAGCTTATCCTTGAAGAGGGCAAACCTTTCCTTGATAGGGATGAGATAAAGAATGACCTCGACCAGTCTGAGCTCACTGTGTGGGGACCAAGGAGGGCATTTGCAGTTCTTAAGTTTAAGCAACGTGATGGCGAAGAACTACGGGACGTTCGCAACCGCATGTGGAAGATCATCCAGAACCTTCGTGCTACACCTCACCGTCTACAGTCCACTGCTGGGAGTGATGGGGTGGGACGTCCTATGTGGGCTCAGTTTACTAAGACGAGGGAAGCAAGACGTCGTGCCTCACATGGTTCAATGTTGAGAAGGGTGTGCACTACACTTGCGAAGGATGCGGAACTTTCTAAGGAGTCTCACAACCCTGATGCCAAGGAAGATGGGGCGTACGATGTCGACTGGACTTCTGGCACAACTTGGCTGGGCGATCTCAAGTTGGGGTCGTGCTCACATCGTGCACCCAAAGGGGAGAGTGTCAAACTCCTCAGCTCTGGCTGGGTCGACGTGATGGCTGTCGCCAAAGGGACCGGAGTCGCCTTCGACATCGCCCTCGGGGCGATAGAGCGTGAACTATGAGGCCAAAAGAGGATGGAAGGTTTCACCCATGACAGTCTGGGGCGCCACCTGTCACATCAAGGTGATGATGGTGATGACCTGGAAGTTGCAGGACGCTGTGAACCTGGTCGAGGCGATGGATGTAAGATGCGTCGGTCGTCCTTTGCTGGGTCAAAACAAATTCGTAGACACGCTGCTTCATGGAACATTGGTGGACAGCCTCTTCCCAAGGTTGATGCTGTCTGTGGTGCTCTGGATTTTTTGGTGTTGCAGGAGATGCCTCGCGCTGACGAAGGTTGGGGCGAAGAATATACGGATAATTTTATTTGGTTGTCTCATCGTAGCACTTCCCAGTGGAGAGGGGTCGGTGTGGGGATCTCACATGAAATCTTTGACTGCTGCACGGACAAGATCGCGTTTGACAAAGGGGCGGCCTGGCTCATCAAGTTCCGAAACAATCGACGTCTTATCCTGGCCTCGCTACATCTTCCCACGGGGGTGAACACTCGAACGTACCATGCTGCAGTTCAAGATTTTCGTGCACGTCTCATTCGTTGGCGACCAGATGTGCCTTGCTTTCTTGGGGTCGATGTCAATGAAGTTGTGGACTGGACACGTGCAGATGGAGAAGACGAGGATGTTCAGGTACGTGCTGGGGCGAAGATCGACAAGTTCCTCGAGGCTGTCTCTGATGTACGGTGTCGCCTGGTAGCACCCATCCTTGCACAGCGTTGGCTCCCCACACATTTTCCTCGAGACGAAACTCGTGAGGGGCGACACATCGATGCAGTGCTTGTTCGTCAACTTACGTGCTGCCCTGTTAACATTAACTCTGACGTTCGCTTCCATATCAACACTGACCATGCCAGGCTTGAGTGCGTTATCGATCTGCTGGCCACGTCGTGGGGTAGTTGGGTCGACTCTCGCCCCCGTTGGGTCAAGCTGGGAGCCGTGCTTCATGAGCCGCATTCTTGGGACGATGTTGTCTCTATGGCCAAGACGTGTACTGAACCGAGACAAAAACAGAAATATGTTGACAGCGACGAAATCAAAGAAGCTTCTCGTCGTGCTCGGGCTTGCCATGGACGAGATGCCAAGGTGCTGTGGAATGAAGTTCACCGACTTCGGCGACGGGCTAGGCGAGCCTGGAAAACAGCACGTGCTGGCAAAATCCTTGCTGGCGACTGGCATGCCTATCGGGACGCAAAAACTGAGACGAAGAAGCGGAGTTGGTGGGGTGGACTCCTCAAAGATAAAAGTGCTGCGGAACTGGCTGGGGATGTCACGGAACATTTGGAGTCGAAGCTGTGTGACCAAGCTCTTCGGTGGCGTGATGATCTGGAACGGAGGATTGAGACTATTTCGTGTAGTCCTGTTGATTTCTTCCCGATCCAGGAGCATGAAGTTGGGGGTGCTCTACTAAAGATGCGTTCGCGGTCTTCGCTTGGACCTGATGGTGTTAGTGTTGACCTTCTGAAGACCATTTTCGCAGAGAGCCCTACAGCACTGTGTCGTCTCCTCAGTGAAACTTTGTTCACCGGAAAGGTCCCCGATGAATGGGGTGAGTCACTGCTTGCTTTGCTGCCGAAAGTTACATACCCACATTCTGTACGTGAACTTAGACCCATCGCTATGTCGTGTAGTGGGATGAAGCTCCTTTCCAAGATCGTGATGAATCGTACTTTTCGGCGACTTCGCGAAGGCTCACCCTGGTCCGCCTGTGGGCAGGGCAGAGGCACTGCAGATCTACACGGGGTGATGGGACGCCTACGGGACATGTGTCGGGAATGGAGAATTGGCATCGTGGTTGCCAAACTCGACATAGAGGGGGCGTTCGACTACGTGAATCGTGGCTCCGTCGCTGACTTCATTGAAGGTCGCTTGAATAGTTGCAACTACTCCTTCGAGAAGCGCTTCCTCTTACAGCTGCTGGATGTCAACACGTTGCGGGGTGCCTCTCCGGGGGGCGGACTTGTCAGTGTGGAGTGCAACAGAGGAATTCGCCAAGGCTCTCCGGAGTCAGCGGAGATCTTCGGGATGATTATCTCTGACGTCATCAATCGTCTCAAAAGCAGAGGGGCATGGAGGCAGCCTGTGGGCAAACTACAGGACATCCCTGCTGATGTTGGGACGTACCAGGATGACATCTTCGTTTGGTCTGACACGGCTGGCGTAATGGAGAAGAACATTGCAAACATCGCCCTGGAGCTTCGTTTACTTGGTCTCAAGCTTGCTGTGAAAAAGACGTGTGTCGTTGCTAGCAAGTACTACAAAGGCAGGCGGGTCGTGAAGATCGATGGGACGGACGTTGCAGTTCAGGAAGTTGGCTCGGCCGTACGTGTCCTGGGCCTCGACTATGACCTCGATGCTCCTGCTGCTTCCCAAGCTCGTGAACTTCATGGTCGTGTCTGGTCGGCCTTCCACGAGAACAAAACCTTCCTTTGTGGGCCTGGCAGTTGGAGTGAAAAACATCGCTTGGTCCAGATGCTGGTCGAAGGGGCATGGGCTTGGTCTGCGGGGGCGGTGCACTGGGAGAAAGCAGAGCTGCAGATGATGAACAGCACCCAGCTTCGTGTTCTTCGCCTTGCTTTTGGAATCCGTCGACATGCCGGAGAGGACTGGATTACATACAATGCAAGGTCCCTTCGTCAAGTTCGTGTCTGGTTACCTCAGTCTGGGGTGGAGCGCTGGAGTACGAAGATTTTGCGATTGCAATTTCAGCTTGCTGGTCATTGGATGAGGCAGGTCGAGAGTGAAGAAGGAGACCGTGGTATCGCGGGACGAATGATGCTGTGGAGATCTATGGAATGGTGGAACCATGAAAAGAGTCTCACTTCTGGGGCGAGACATCCAATGCGATTTCGCGCCGCCAACCTGGAGAGATCTCTCTCCGCGTGTCTGGGTGAAAAGTGGTATGATGCTACACTGAATCGTGAAGGTTGGAAACAGCTCTTGCCAATGTGGTTGGAGTATGCTGATGTTCCTTGGACCAGGGGCAGGCAACTCTGTCTGTGTAACTGAAGTTGTAGGTGGGGTGTGTGAAGTCTGCCTGACTGAGAAAGCCTGTACAACCTTGGTGCATGGTGGCTTTGTCCTGCCTGCCTGGCCCGAAACTTTCGCCGTAAGCTGTACATGAACATGGTAACTTGACTTTCGCATACGACGACAAGATGAATGTTATTTTATGTGTACCACTCGGAGTTCTCTCTGTTCTACTAGAAGTGTGAGTTTTCCTGTGCTGCCTCGGCACACCAATTCGCTGACATGGCCACTCGCCTTTGCCTTCGGGGACGCTTGGCCTTCTTCGTTGGCCTGGGGTGCTTCTCCTGCTATTTGTGGTCGGGCAAGGCTGTCCCAGCTGCCAATACCAATGCTTGGAACTCCAACTCCAACAACTGGGTGGATGACACTGGCCAGGGGTGGAGTCGCTCGTCCTCCTCGTCTTCTACATGGGATCAACAACCTGCTCGACCACATCCTACTGGTGCTGCACGATGGGATGATCCGGGACATCATCGCGAAGCTGGAACTGGAAACTGGGGGCGTTCTACTTCCTCCTCGCCTTCCACACGTGGACACCCTTCTGCTGCTCAAGTTCAACCCGCTGAACCTCCTCCTTGGGACGATCATGCGCAAGAACACGGCGATCATTGGTCCTCCTCGTCTACAAATGAATGGCACAGTCAAGGAGCCGCGGTGAATGATCCCACATATGCTGAGTGGTCTTCTTGGTCTTCTTCTTCCTCTACACAACAGCAAAGATGGACTGAAGACTCGTGGCATGGTGGCAGTGGGTGGTGGGAGGAAGGCGACTGGACATCCTGGACCTCCTGGACGGACTGGGGCGATGATGTACATCCACGGGGTGATCGGCCAAGGGGATTCTACCGTCATGGGGTCTTCATCGACAGACAGAGGGACGAAGTTGAGCAAAGATTTCATACAGGTGGCCAAGGACAACAACGACAAAGTCGACGACAAGAAAGAATGAGGCAGTGGCGGGCTGGCACCTTTGTTCCTGCATGGAGGGGCGATATGGAAGAAGTTGGACGTCGTCTACATGGAGGTGGTCCTGCTGGTGGGGATGTATTGGCCGTGGTTCGTGAAGCTGAGCAACGTGCTGCAGCTACCTTGAGGGCGACTGCTACACGGATGCCTGCGAATGGGGTGACATTGCCCCGCGTTGCTGAGAGTGTTAGCGAAGATCACACCTCATGCTCTGCGAGTACACCCAGCAGCTGGGATTGGGAACCTCGTGATGTTACTGATGGAGATGCTGAACAAGATGTTCATCCTGGTGAACTTCCTTCGGGAGTACCTGCACCACCTGAACTTCCTGGAGAACGACTACCTCGTGAAGACGTACTTCCTGCTGTTCCTGGAGACCATGTGGTACATGGAGCCGGGGACGAACACAGCGAAACTCCGACGATGGCTGGGGATGGTCCTCCACAGCTTCATGGTTCCCGGCCAACGTGGACACGCCAGCAGTGGGAAGACTGGGAGACATGGGAAAATGACAGGCAACCGCTGGTCTCAGATGAAGTGCAGCTCATGCAACGAGGTCGTCCGGACACTGCAACAGGGGCGAATGATGGAGAGGACAACAATGCTGGTCCGTCTATGCCATTGTCTCTCCGTGAAGAACAAGCACTGTTTGATGCTGGGTGGCCACTCGAAGTTATTGCCAACATGCGGGACTTTTGTGACTTCCTGGAGTGGGCTCGCCGTGAACATGGGGATGGGGCCATTGCATGGGCTCTGGACGTCTGGGGTGATGCCTTGGTGATGGGTAATGCTACGATCGAGCTTGCCCAAGAAACACTTTGGGGGCACCTTCGAAATGAAGAAGCTCGTGTGCCAGATGATCCTGGAGTGCGGGGGCGACTTGTGGTGGGCTTCCAGAGACAGTTAAATGATTTTCATCTGTCTATGATACAGGAGAGCCTTCGACGTAACTGGATGCCACATGGGGTTGATGATGACGGTCGTCGACTACCCGAACCTCCCTTCGTCCGGGGCGACACGGCGGCATGGGCGATGACTCGTGCCCGAAGTTTGGCTCGGGAACTTGTTGCGCGCGCACAACGGGACGGAGCGACACTTCGGTCGACTAATGAAGGAGCTGGCGTACATGTACAAGTGCCTGCAGCTCTACCACAACAAGGCTCTGATCCTGATGGGGATGGTGTCACGGTGGTCCCTACAGATGCGATGTCTATGGGTTCTGATAATGTTGGTCACGGCGACTCAGTTGGAGTGCCAGGGGCGTTGCCTGATCCAGAAAATGCCGACGCTGATGATGAGGCTGGGGATACAGCTACGCTTATGCAGCTCAATATTGATGAGGAGGCGCGGCTACATAACATGAATGTGCAGGACTCGGCAAGGCGACACCTTCGAAGTTTGTTGGCTTCACTGAACTACATTCAGGATCGGGATGAGGGCCCTGAATATCGTTGGGGGATTCGCCTGGTCGTTGAGTCGTGGGATGCTAGCATCCGGGTAATGCAGGCGCTCCGTGATGTTTTAGCGCGCCGCACCACAAACCTTGGGGTGTTACCATACTACCCCGCTACGAGGGAGCCGGCGTATGGGGCGCTACGTAGCCGGGTCGTGGCATACATGGCTGAGTACCGTCATCTCCTGCAAAACTCTCTTGCGGAAGAGATGGCCATGCAGATGATTGAGAGGTCAAGAATGCCAGGGGTGCCGCTACAACAACCTTCCAGCTGGACTGTGACATCGTCGCGCATGGGACGGAACACCCGACAACGACGTGGTGAAGAAGTCCCGCGTGGTTCACGTTCTCGCTCTCGCTCCCCTGGGTCGCATGCAAGTGGGAGTGATGCTCGACTGGCTACCAGCGAGGACCGCCCTGGTGATCCGCTCCGACCTGTTCCTGAACGACTTCCTGTACCTGGTGGCGGTGCTCCTGCTCCTGACGTTTCTGCAGAAGTTCGTGATGCTGTTCCTCAACCAGATGCTGCTCTTTGTCCTGCTGCTACTCCTGATGTACCTCCTCGACACATGGATGCCGCGAATGTTGGCTCTCCTACCCTTGGGGCGTCTGCTGGCATTGGTTCGCTGGACCGGGGTATGTTAAACACAGTGGGTGCTGAACTTGGACCGGGTGATGCTACGGCGATGAGTGTGCCTCGTGTTGCCGATGGGGATGGGATGCTCTTTGGTGGTCCTGGCAATGTGGGTCGTGATGATCTTCGCCATGCTGCTGCTGCCGATCGGGGTGTTTGTCCTCTACCTCCTCCTGTACTTCGAGACCCACCTGGACTTCTTCCACCTGGAGTCAGTGACTTTGGGGAGTCTGCATACTCTGAAATGGAAGTCTTGAGTGCTGCAGTGTCTGAAGCTTCTTCGTCTCTTGTTGCTACTGAGGGGGTGACTGGGTCTGTTGGTGATATGCTTCCTCCAGGAAACGAAGTGTCTGCAATCATTCCTGAAAGGGGTGATCGGTCCATTTCTGATGCGAATGCCGAGGTTTTTGAGTCACGGGATAGCTGTTAATGTTTTCTGCACACAACGTGTGCTTTGTGCAAGCCTCGTACCGAGGCGGACCCTTGGACGCAAGGAAAAGGGCAGTGCATTTAAAAAAAAAACCTTCCCTAGACCCTAAACCCTACACCCTCCCTAAACCCTAAACCTCCCCCAAACCCTAAACCCTCCCTAAACCCTAAACCCTCCCTAAAGCCCTAAACTCGACTCTGGAGGATCCGGAGAATCCTCGCTCCGAGCAGGAATTCCTGGATTCGCGGAGGCACGGGATTTATAGTCACCACGGTATACCTATTAACTACAGTCTCCATTGTAGTTCCTTCCTTGGTTAATTAGCCAAGTTTTATGGTTAGGATCCGATAATATAGATGTTGGTTCACGAAAAAGAGGAACTACAATGGAGAGTAGAGGTGCGCATAGTAGAAACGAAAGCAGCGCTAGGCTGAATTCCTAATTAGTTTCATGTCTAAGCAACTCTTCCAAAAATGATATAAACAATATATTGTACTCATGAACAGGTTCCACTGGGTTTCAATAGCAGCAATGACAATTAAGTAATTACTGGTATATAACTACATTGTGGTTTCTTCTTGGGATTGCCTTCTAGGATCCTAAATATGCACCACAGACAGGAACCACTATGGAGCCTCGAGGTGCTGACTGCTGATGATATACCTAAGCCTGAATAGTGGACTACTGGGCACATAATATACGGCTAGTAACCTACTATTTAGGTAAATGGAGCCCTAGGGACTACCGACTACTGATGATACTCGCCTTTTTGTCTTGCAGGCCAAGCGGCGAGCTGAGCCCACCGGGAGCAGGTCCTGTAGCTTGGCGATCGGCAGTTCGGAGGAGAGAGATGGTGTTCGGAGGAGGGCCTCTTCAAGGGTTTAGGGGTTTAGGTTTAGGGTTTAGGGGTTTGGAGGTTTAGGGGTTTAGGTTTAGGGTTTAGGGGTTTAGGGCCTCTTCAAGGGTCCCGAGGTAGGGGTTGTGGGTTTGCGGGCCCGTTTTTTCAAGCAGCGAAGAATTACAAGAGGTACCCCTGTCACGCACCCTGTCTCTGTTCAGTCACATCCCTGATCCAGAACGGTACCTCTAAACCTCGGGCACTAAACCACCTAAGTCCGAAACACAACGGTTGCCGTGTGTTGAAACTTTCGTGTTGTGCATCAGAATGTGGATAGCCAGATTATGCAGTAGCAATTCGTATCTCTACTAGTATAGGCAGTATAGGTATAGTTAGTAGGTATAGTATTCGTAATGACCACCATTGCAGTAACCGTACTTAGGACCCTTTGGGAACCAAGTCTCGCCTTCCCCTAAACCCTGAACCCTAAACCCTAAAAAAAAACCCAAGTCTCGCCTTCCGAGTCCCGCTGGCTGCGCCGATTCGACAATGCGGAGCGCGACAAGCGGGAGTTTCAGCCCTGTAACTACCTGCAGGCGATTCAGAGGAAGAGTTGCAACGGACTTGTATTGTCTGCAGTTTTTATCACATCTAGATACAACATGGCAGATTAGCAGTTCAAAATTTTATCTTATTTAGAGGCACGTTTGGTGGCTCTTAGCACTTGGGGCTTTCAGAGTTCAGCTCCTTGAGAGCCTTAGCGAGGGTCCCGAGATGATAGGACCCTGGGAACAGTAGTATGTGGCGTAGGGTTTTGGGTTTAGGACTCAGGGTTTAGGGTTTTGGGGTGTAGGGTTTTGGGTTTAGGATTCAGGGTTTGGGATTTGGGGTTTAGGGCTTAGGGTTTAGTGTTTTGGGTTGAGGGTTTCGGGTTTAGGGCTTGGTACTTTGAGTGTGCGTTTCGGATACATCACAACATACTATGAAGTACAAGGGGTGGTGCCATCCGGATACACTACAACATACTATGAAGTACAATACGTAGTTATTCAGTCCTTTATCAGCCCAAGGTTATGTCGTACCGTGTGGCCTCGGCGTCCAGCCATCGTTGCAGCGACATGTAACCAATCGCAACAGCCCCCCGAAGGCTCTTTAGGATCGTTGCAGTTATATGCCCAACCCCAGGGTTAAGGGTCTGCTGGTTTGCGTCATTTGCGTCTTCAGGGTTTGGGGTTTTAGGGTGCGCCGAGAAGGTGCCAATGCTGCTCTCCTGGTATGATAATGGGCTTGCACAATTTGAACAGGCTTAGGGCTTAGGGCTGTACCATTCTCGTATTGCCTTTCATTCAGAGTTTGTATCCTTAAATTAACAGTTACTCTGCTGCAGTTGGCGCTGATGATTCTGGGGTGTAGAGTGTAGGGTCTGTAAAGGTCATAGGATTTAGGGTCAGAGCCGATTAGGCTGCATTCCGGCGTGCAACATCCGAGCCTCGACATATTGAGCCTCAAGGTCCATAAACCTGAGCGAGAGAGCCCAAATTCACGGTTGAGGGTTTGGGGGTTTAGGGTTTAAGGGTTTAGGGTTTAGCCAACAGCCTGTGCTGGAAGAGAACATCACGGCCCGGAGTGTGCGAAACTCATCTGATCAAAGTCAGAAACCTTGAAACGCACATGGCTGGACTTCTTTATGCGCAGTCGTCACGAAACCACCTGTTGAAGAGCATCCCCACTGAGAGGGTCAGGCAGACGGAAGGCGGCAATATGGGCTACAGGGGTACGGGGTATCCGAACCCCTAACACGCCCCGTTTCCTTAATTAATGCTCTAAAACCTGCACCCTCAACTCTAAACCCTAAACCCTAAACTCTAAACCCTAAACCCTAAACTCTAAACTCTAAACGCTTTGCCGGAACCCAAGGCCCCAAACCCTAAAGCCCTAGGCCCCAACCGTAATGTAGGAGCCTAATCAAATAATTACCAATGCTATGAGTACGTAAACTTATAGTAGAATATACCCGCCAAACCTATTCTAATTATTCAGGCCTAAATATCATAGACCCCTACTATAGATCCCCTATAGACCCCTTAAACGGAAGCCCTAAAAGGAACCCTATTCTAATTATTAGGGCCCCCAGACTCTAAGCCCTAAGCCCGAAACCCTAAATCCTTAACCCGACGCCCGAAACCGTATCCCTGGAACCTAAACCCTAAGCCAAAAACCCCAAACCCGAAACCCTATATACGCAACCCTGTATACCCGAAAGCCTTAGGCCCCTAAAACCGTATCCCTACGAAAGGTGATGGGTATGTTCATCCTCTGGGTTGGTTGGTACGGCCGCTGCGGCAGCAGAAGCAAGAGTGCTGTTGTCCAGGGTTTTGTTATTGTGAAGCTTGTCTTCACAATATCAGTTTATATGTCTGTATATGTGTGTGTGTGTGTACATATATGTATATATGTATAAGCTTAAACGGTTAAGAACCCTAGGGTTTTGTCGAGCTTTGTCTTAACATTGTATGTGTGTTTAGGGTTTCGGGTCATGGGTTTTAGAAGGGTCCTGCATCAAAGCTAAGGGCTTGCTGCTATGCTCGGGATCCTGCTATTCGGGGTCTTACATACATACATATATGTATATGGTATGTGTGTGTGTACATACATACATACATACATACATACGTACATACATACATATGTACATATGTTGTATACATAGCATGTACCTGTATGTATGCATATATGTATATGTACATGCATATGTGTAGGTGTATTCATAAATGTGAGTGTGTATGTGTATGTGTGTATGTATTTACGTACACATGCTTTTTTATCTGTCAAGGTTCAGGAGCTTGGGTGCTATCGGCTTTAGGAGCCAAGATGGTTCTGTGTGAAGCATTCTGCAAGCTCAGGGTCTCTGTACGGTTCAGGAAAGCATTGTTTGCTCTTACGGCGTAACGCTCTTATTTAGCGCTCTTAACCTTTTATTCTTGCCCTTCACTTTTCGGAGCGCTAAGGCCTGTAGGTCATTCTAACGGCCGCTAATGTGCCTGCATCCGCCCCAGGCTTCAATACCGGTGGAGTCCTGTCAGCCAGCAGGGGAGGCGCTATCCTTGTTGCATGGTTTGGGGTTCAGGGCTTTGGAGCTCGCAAGGAACCTAAACTCTGCAAGCCCTGCGACCCCCTCACCCAAAGCAAGCTGGCTTTTTGTCACGATTTGTGTCAGCCTTTGCAGGGCTTATCATGGAGGCCCCAAGCTGTATAACTTGCAGGCTATGGGTGTTTGGACTTGGGGCCGCGGACCGGATCACAAGCCCCGAGCTCTTCAACGGTGCCAGACAGAGAACCTGAAACGCGTGGATACGGACGAAGAAGCACACCGTTAACCCTCAACCCTAAACCTTACTTGAGGTTCAGGGGTAGTTATAAGTGGGGGTTATAAGTCCCCTAATCTGGGCTACAAGTACAGTTACCCTACTTACAACCCTACAGTACTTATAACTACCCATGAACCCTAAACCCTATAGAACCCTTGAGGAACCCTAAACCCCTGAAAAACTCTACTCATGACCCTACTTATAACGACCCATGTTCCTCCCAGTAGGCCCTCTTCACAGGTGCCCACTCTGCTGGACTCGTCGCCTGGAACACCACTATTGCCGCTGCTGCCGGGGGGTTCGGTGCGTACCTTTACCTCTACGGCCACGAAGCCGCAAAGAAGGGCTTGCTCTGCTTCGGCGCAGGATATTGCGATCGGTATTAGTAGTCGTATTACTGTAGTATTGTGTATGTAGTATCAGTCCTAGTATGAGTGTCAGCATCAGTATCAGTAGTACGGGTCTCAGCTAACAGAGATTCTGGGCTTATAGGGCGAGGATTAAACTAAAGCTGGATCCCAAGGGATAGCTGTATTTTCCTGTATAGTCCTTGGACACCTGCGGGGTGGTGGCCTGATTCGGCCACCAGGTTCAGTGCATCGCGCTTGACGGTTAAGGTTCTGAGGCTTGATTTGGAGCGGCAAGGTGCATCGAGTTACTCAGCCAGCTGGTGGGTAGCAAACATGCCACTCCAGGGCAAGTGCCATGAGCAGGTACCTCTCATTACCTTTCAATGGTGTCGGCTCAGCTTGACTTTATGTTTGTCAAAGTTTAAGCATCGTCCGACACTAACTTTGATTCTAGTGTTTTTTGGTACGATTACGGCTGGGATCCGGCAATGCAGCAAAGATATAACACTCGAGGGTCGAACAGAGGGGTGTGAAAATTGAAACATGAGCTTGTTTCGGATACAAACCTACACGTTCCAGTGTGTCTCCTTGTTCTGGTTCACGCATCTTGGTCAGAATTCTGCAATGCCCAGGCAACATAACCATGAAATCTGAGCTACAAGGGAGAGCAGAGGATCACTTCATCAACTGGGCGACGCTGTAAACCCGGATATGGGATCTTTAATGAGGTATGCATGTGTATGCATGTGTATGTATGTATAAACATATAAACATCTGCACAAGCAGCGTGCACTCATACTCATGCTTGTACTGTCTTCAACACTCACTGAAGGAGCCCTTAAGGATGCTCCAGACCTCAGATCTCGAGCCCTAAACCCTAAACCCCTAAACCCTTAACCCCTACACCCTAAACCGCAGATCTCGAGGCTTTCACCTGAATTTGGATATCGGGTTCCTGTGCAATGGGATGCTGAGTGGCCTCGTGTCGATCACAGCTTGCTGCGATGCCCGGGGTCCCAGCCGGAGTTCAGGGTTTCGGGGTGTAGGGTTTAGGGGTTTGGGGCTTAGGGTTTCGGATTTAGGGTTTAGCCTTGGGTTGATCAGTTTCCCTTCGGGATGAACAATTTCTATTTACTTCTGACGACATTTAAGGCATTGAACGATCACAAGCATTCCGTCTTGTTGATCAGTGGTCAGTTGTATATATATGTTTTGTTCCTACCATGACACTTGCTGCTGCTTTGGCATGGGTAGCCTTATTCTGGTTCTTGCGATTCTTACTTTGTAAGCTCTACTACTGAAAATTATGTGTGTCACATCTCATTGCCATTATCATGATTACAACTGTTCTCTTGATGTCAGCATCGTCATCGTAGTAGTAGCTGCAGTAGCAGCCGGCTGCGGGCAGCCGTGGGTCTGATCTTTAAGTTGTTGGTTTTGGGGTTGTTTATGGTGGTAGGGCTCCTTGCTTAAGGGGTTTAATTGAGAGTTTAGGCTTTTAGGGTTTCGGGTTTAGGACTTAGGGTACAGTGTTTTTCTTATCTAGGGCTGTTTGGGACCGAGAGTCAGGGTTTGACGGTCTGAGCGTTTGGAACTTGAATTTAGGATGATAGTTTCTTTACAGTTCCGGGTTGTGTGGGAGTTTCAGAATTAGGGGGACCCTGTCGGAGTCTGCTGCATCCTGTTCATCATGTAGGCCCTCCATGCCGAGCCCCTAAGGTCCCCAAACTATATCTCGTTCCATCTGTCTATCTACCTATGTACGCAGCATGCATACACAGTACTTATGTCTGTAGATACTCTCTTCCCCGTAGAATGGCTTTAACATTTGCGTGCGCGCGCGTGTGTGTGTGTGTGTGTGTGACAACCCTGTATCCAAGGGCCTTCTCCTCACGCTCTGCAGCCATTTCCTACTTACGATTTACATATAACTGAACTTGAGTGCAGAGTACACAGCAGGGGCACACGGCATCCACAACCCACCGTGTGCAACGAAGCTACGGTTGTGGATGGGAAGGGGGACTTGGCCAGTCCCCTGTACCTGCAACGCTTGTGACATCCTGGTCTTCGCTGTATATGGTTCATCGTCGTACTGGTTACATACTACATTCTTTTGGCGTGGATGGCCTGGGGCTAAGCCAAGAACCCCATCCGAACACTTGTGGCTGCGCAACAGTGCTTGTGAGTCAGCGCTTGAGTTCGCATCTGCAGTTCACAGTTCTGGTCTTGTCCTTGTTCCTCAGTGTCTGCAGCAGGTTCAGGCCGTGTTGGGGTTTAGTCAGGTTGCAGGTCTAGGTGGCACACTTTGAGCCGTTCAGCTTCGACCTTACTGCACATGAAGATACGTGTTCAAAGTTGCTGGTGCATGGTCGCCCAAGACCTGGGCATCAGGTGGTCCTTCGCATACAGAAACCTCTCTTAGCATTCAGTGTGTAGTCCTCCGGGACGGTGGTGTATGCCTCGGTGCTGCACTCAGATCCTCCAAGTTCGGAGGCGCCAAATTCAGTGTCAGCGCTTAGATCAGTTCAATGAGGAGAGCAGTGAAGCCACATGGCCTAACCGCCTCTCATGGCACCCACAAATTCGGCTCCATGCCTACCAAAACGCGATTGCAGCTAAAGCGGCTTCAAGCACTCATACCCAAGGACTCAGGCAGGAAGAGTTTTGACCGTAACGTTCTAGTGGCTTTTCCCTGTAGTAGTTGTTGTTGTAGGCTGTGCATTGCTTGTCTGCATTCGCCATGCCTCCTCGTCCCCGTCCATCCTGTGCACCTGGACTCTGGACGACTGCACCCTCTCGATCACGATCTCGGCGACGCCCGAGGTCTGCATCCTCATCGTCTTCCTCTTCCTCTTCGTCGTCAACGCCGGCGGCACCTACGACCCGGACTGCGGCACCTCAACGTTCTACTTTGACTGGCCGAATCGCTGCCCCTTTACAGCCTCCACGACCTATTGATATGGCAGCTCCAAGCACTCTCCCTGATCTTTCTCCTCTTCCTCCGAGCCCGTTTTGGCCTGGTTTACTTCCCACTGGCTCAACCCCGTCTTCCTCCAACAACGACCAGTCAGTGCCTGCTGATGCCTATGTCCCTACCTCACCGCCGGACCCGTCTACCACCCCTACGGCATCCTCGACGTCGCCACCTACAGCATCTTCGACCTCAGCAGCTCCCTTCAGCTCCGCTTGCACGTTGGCAACCTTACGCCAGTGTTTGGCCACGGCAGGCCAACTTGATACCTACCTGCAATCCGATTACTCCACACGGCTGGGCTCCCTCAAGGCGGTACACTGGGATCGAGTATATACTGCATTGCTGCAATACAGGTCCTACTTCAAAGCGCTCCCTCATCGTCGACAATGTCAACGGGAGTTACTCTTGGAGGGACGCCAAGTTGATGTGCCTTTCACTCTAGCCGATCCGATACTTACAGTGATGCATCTGTTGGTACATGCTGGATACCATCCTCACAGTGTTCAGTTCAAGTTTACACACGTCGAGGCTCCCCAACATCAACCAGACCAAGCAGGCAGACCGATGCTGATGGTTTCGCTTCCCTTCCCGGCAGCAGCACAGCGTGTTAGCGGGGCACCTGCCGTCGCGTATTTCGGTCACAACACGGACCTTCAGGCGGCTTTTGGCATCCTAAAAGAAGGCTGCATCCGCCCCAGCAACTTCGACCCCCTTGACGCTTCTTGGCTGCCGAGTCCTGCCTTTTACTCTCGCGCTTCCGTCCACAGTCTCAGCGGAGCCTTACGGGCTGCAGCCAAGTTCGGAGGATGGGGTTCTCCCCGTCCGATTTGTGTATATGGCCGAATCCCCATTTGCTATCTCGACATAGCCAATGCCGCGCCTACCGATACACCGTCTTCAGTGCTCCCCAACATTCCCGCGGCCTATCACCTGAAGAGCGACAGTGGGGGCACCGTCCCCGAAAACGCGGCGAACTACTTCGTCTCCATCCTACACGGCAACGACAACCGTTGGGGCGTGCACTCCACGCTTGCACAACCAGAAGGCATTGCCGTGTTCATGTGAGAGGACCCACAAAATGTGTGCGTGACTTGCGGTGTGGCATGGCTGGTCTCTTTGTTGTTGCAGCCTTATTCCTCTTCATCCCGCAGCCGTTTTGCTGAAACCTTCCTAGCACATCATGGCCTCCTCCGCCTTCACTCCTGAATATTTGCAGTTGTTCTTGGTGTTTTTCGAGTCGTTGTCCGACCACCAACTGCTCCAGGTACGTGACGTATTACTACGAGCCCATCAGAATCGACCGACGTTGACCCCTGTGACACCGGTGGCTACGACATCTACTCCACCGCCTCCCGATGCTCCCCCACCTGCCACAGCGCCGCTCACCTCCAGTGACCCAGGCCCTTATTCTGGTCAAGCCGCCTACGATTCTCCTGGACCTCAAGTACTTCCAGACGGCAGTGTGGCCCCTCCGGCCCCCATGGGACCACCACCGATTCCTCCTCATGTGGATCCCTCCCAGCGCCAGACCCTACCACGACTTCGGAGACGAGATCGCGGCCGCCCTCGAGATGAAGAACGTTCTCGCGCTGAAGACCGCGATCGTGATCGTCATCGCCGACGACGTCGTTCGGTATCCCCACTTCCTCCTGACCCGCTACCTGCTGGACCTTCTTCTCCTCCGATGCCATCAACCCCGGGACATTCTGATGCCATCCCGATCGGCCACACAGTTCCACCTCCGGCTGTCTCCAAGCACACTGGACGACCTCTTGCACCTAAGGTCGATGCTGATGGCACTTTGACTTATGTACCGGTCAAAGCGCGACCGCAACTTCCTCCTCCACGGACCACAACGGCGACAACCGGCCGATCCCGCAGTCGGCGTCGCCGCCGCGACCGTGCTGACCGAGACCGTGATGATCGTGAGGATCCTGACCGCTCTCGAGGTGCGCGTGATGGTCCCCATCGCGATCGAGACCGTGATCGACACCGACGGGATCTGAGCGGAGACCAGCAGCGCCCACCCCTGACTCTCTACTCCGTCGCTCGGGCCTGAACAAAACATGTGCCCTCGCCGACTCTGCTCCTCCTTTTCTTGGATGTTCCGCAGCCATTTTCTACATCACTCCACAGTCCTGCCCTTCCCTGGTACCATACATGCCTTTCCGACGCTCTGCTCCTTTTTCGTCCTCTGCCTCCTCTTCCTGCTCGACCTTGTCGTCATCCACTTCGGCAACTGTCCTGGAGTACTTGGACGTATTGACTGATCCTTTCATTCTCTTCCGGGTGTTCTTACCACTCTTGGAACTTCGTCTACGTACAGCTCTCGTCCCTCCGGACTCGATGATGGACACTGCTTCTGCCCGTACACCCGCTCCGGACTCCACGTTAAGGTGCCTCTTTCCTATTGCTGAACTACATGGCCAGGCCCTTGCGTTCCGGACGGAACGCGACTATCACCTTCACTATGCCCTCGCCGAGATCACATTTCATCCCGGTGTCGTTGCTTCTTTGATGGTGACCTGCTCGCGAACATACTACGCCGTACGAGCCCTTCTTCGTGATCGTGGTCTTCAATATGCCTTCTACGTGGAACGCACACCCGATCTTCCACGGTCACATTCTTCTCGACCGTGCCTGTCCATCTTCCATCCGTTTTGTCCACAACAAGTCCGCGGTATGGCGCTACACCGTGGAATTCAGCATTGGGTCTTCATTCCCTCCAGCTACCAGGAGTTACCTCTGATCCGGCTCGGACGTTTCTCATGATGCGAGCTCAGGACCTGGACAAAGAGGACTATTTGCTACTGCAGCAGTTCTTAAGCGAGCTCACTTCCCGCAGCCGTTTTTACTTTGGCTCCTTTCGCCTGCTTCCTCACGCCTCCTCCCATTCTTCCTCCTCCTTATGCCTCCACACCGCTCTCGCACTCCACCTTCCCGACGACATCGTCTACATGGACGTGATGAACCTTCTCGACACGATCCCTATTCGTCCCAGCGGAACATTACGACGCAACCTCCCAGGTCGG